TTTTCAGAAGTATTATTTACGGCTCCTATTAACTTCAACTGGCATTACGAATGGTACCTAAGCACTTCCAAAAATCTGGAGATCCTTTAGGGCACGTTGAATTAAAAAATAAATAAAAAACAAAAAAAAAACCCCACAGTGGTTGCATTTCAAAATTTTGCCTTTAATCTTTCTCAAAAGTGTAGGAACATGCTCTCCTTTGAAAATAGGTTATTTTTTGCTTCACAAAAGACCACTGGTTTTCCAATTATTCTCCTTGAAGTACAAAAAGTATCCAAACTGTATAATGCGTTCTTAGAACGTGGGTCACTCTGTATCAGTCACAGGTTTTGAATCATTCTATGATGTGCATTTATATCCAAGAGCTGCACCTTAGCTTTCCACTATCCTGATGTCACTTCTCTCTTCTTCTCCATTCTATACTTGTCTCTCTTTTGCATAGTTCTCAAAAAGGAAATCTTTGAGCATGGTAGCAGGCCCCTTAAGCGAAATGGGGTCCAGCACTCCTGTTCCAGTCTGAGGGGAGCACGGCTGCCCTGAGAGGTAGAAATGAGAGACAGCCCAAAGATAAGGGGAGTTCAGAACCCACAGAAGGAGCTGCAACATGAGCTCACTGAGAAAAGCAGAACTGAGAGCTTCATGAAGGAGACACAGGTAAGAACTCCCTTGTGAGCAGGGGAGCCAGATAAGGCCACTTAAAGCAGAAGACAGGAGAACAGTTAGGGTGGGTCTCCTACAAACTTCCCCAGGCCAGAGAGAGCTGAAGGCTGAAAGCAACAGCAGCAGATGCCTGCTGGCTCTCTGAGCCAGAGAGCTGGATCTGGAGGGCCAGAGAATGCTATGATCTGGTGAACGATAGAAGGGTAAGCTGGGGGAGAGCTAGAGCCGGGCCTGGAAAGGAAACAAGGTGGAGAAACACCCCAGCTACAGTGTCTGGGGTGAGGCACAGTGAGAGAGTTGTGGTGAGCAATGCTGAAGCTATACTGGGTATGCTGGGGCTTGAAAAATTGAATGTACTGCTGGGGCTGTGCTAGCAATATTTGCACCAAACCACCAAAACAACTGAACAGGTGAAAGAGGCAACAGAGTGGCACAAACTAATAGCAGGCACTGAGTGCCCGGTACCATTTTTACCATATGAGCCATATGGAGCCACAGGTGAACAGAAGACTTGTTGGTAGAACCATTTCAGCTGCGGGCTGGTAAGAGCAACCACCGAAGCCATTCAGCCAAATAATCACACAGTGTCCCATGAACAGGAGCCCTTTAAGTGCTTTTTAAAAAAATGGCACCAGGTGGTGACTGAGCAGAACCCTAAGTGCAGCCTGGCCCAACAGCACAGAGACCTGTGGAGAAGCCACAGGAAGGATGGGGTGCAAAGGACTCTGCAGCACTAATGCACCCCCAGACAGTGCCAGGTTTACAATGGCGTCAGTGGCTCCATGAAGCTGGGCCCATGCTCAGAAGGGGCCCTGGCCTGCTCTGCTTGCACTGTGCCCTGAGAACCCACCAGCTCCCCCACCCCACCCACCACTTGCTTCTCTAGGCTCGCCCACCAGCTGGCCGAGGGCTCCTCTCCACCCCCTGCCCCACCCGCCGGCTTCTTGCTGGCAAGTTAAAGTAGTATGGATCGGATGAATGGACTATAAAGTGGATAGAAAGCTGGCTAGTTCGTCGGGCTCAACGGGCAGTGATCAACGGCTTGATGTCTAGTTGGCAGCCGGTATCAATTGGAGTGCACCGGGGTTGGCCCTGGGTAGTGTTCCCGCTAATTTTTCCCGCCCATGTGCGGAATTAATTTGGTTAATTTGGTGATACGTGAGGGTTGGGGTGCAGGGGTGTGAGGGCTCCAGCTGGGGGTGAAGGCTCTGGGGTGGGGCTGGGGATGAGGGGTTTGGTGCGGGAGCGAGCTCCCGTGAGGCGAGGACTCCCCCCAGCTCTCTCTCCCTGAAGCAACACCTGGGCTGTGAGGGAGAGGTACCTCTCCCTGCTGCGGCAGCTCTGGGGTTGGGGCTGCAGGATAGGCGCCCCTGCCCTGGCCCCAGCAGGTCTGGGCTGGGGCTGGGTTTGGGCCAGGAAGGGGTGCTCCAGCTGCACCTGGGTCCAGGCCGCACTGCCCTGGCCACATCTGGGGCCAGGCCAGGCCAGGCCAGGCCAGGCCACGCCACGCTGGGTGCACCTAGGTCCAGGCAGGGCCACTCTGGCCGTGCCTGGGTCCATGCCGCCCTGGCTATGGCTAGGGCTGGGATGGGCCACACTGCTTCGGCCATACCTGGGCCTGGATCTGGGCCGGGCCAAGCTGCCCAGGCCACACCTGGGTCCATGCTGCCCTGGCCGCACCTTGGATCCATGCTTGGATCTGGGCTGGGCCAGGCCACTTCTGGGTCTGCACCGCCCCAAGCCACACCTGGGTCCGGATCAGGCCGCTCCAGCCACGCCTGGCTCTGGGCCGCTCCTGGGTCCACGCCACGGCTGGGGCTGGGCCGCCCTGGCCGGGCCGGGCACCCTGGCCATGGCAGGTTGGGGCCGGGGGAGGGGCGCCCTGGCCGTGGCAGGTTGGGGGCCTGGCTAGGTTGGGGCTGGGAGAGGGGGAGGGGTGCCCCTCCCCCAGCCGGTACCTGGCCACAGCAGGTCTCCAGGAGGGTTCCCTGAGCACCTGTGCGGTGCTAAATAGGCTGCTACGTGTTGCGCAGCTTACAGGGAACTTAGGTCTTGGGGTTAGTTTTGTTCAACATCTTCATTAATGATCTGCATGATGGGAGGATTGTACTCTCAGCATGTTCGCGGATGACGCTAAGCTCGGGGGGGAGGTAGATATGCTGGAGGGTAGGGATAGGGTCCAGAGTGACCTAGACAAATTGGAGGATTGGGCCAAAAGAAAACTGATGAGGCTCAACAAGGACAAGTGCAGAGTCCTGCAATTAGTATGGAAGAATCCCGTGCACTGCTACAGGCTGGGGACCAACTGGCTAAGCGGCAGTTCTGCAGAAAAGGACCTGGGGATTACAGTGGGTGAGAAGCTGGATACGAGTCAACAGCGTGTCCTTGTTGTCAAGAAGGCTAACGGCATATTGGACTGCATTAGTAAGAGCACTGCCAGCAGATCGAAAGAAGTGATTATTCCCCTCTATTCCACATTGGTGAGGCCACATCTGGAGTATTGTGTCCAGTTTTGGGCCCCTCACGACAGAAAGGATGTGGACAAATTGGAGAGTCCAGCGGAGGGCAACAAAAATGATTAGGGGGCTGGGGCACATGACTTATGAGCAGAGGCTGAGGGAACTCGGCTTATTTAGTCTGCAGAAGAGAAGAGTGAGGGAGGATTTGATATCAGCCTTCAACTATCTGAAGGGGGATTCCAAAGAGAATGAAGCTAGTCTGTTCTCAGTGGTAGCAGATGACAGAACGAGGAGTAATGGTCTCAAGTTGCAGAGGGGGAGGTCTAGGTTGCATATCAGGAAAAACTATTTCACTAGAAGGGTGATGAAGCAGTGGAATGGTTTACCTATGGAGGTGGTGGAATCTCCATCCATAGACATTTTTAAGGCCCAGATTGACAAACCCCTGGCTAGGATGATTTAGTTGGGGTTGGTCCTGCTCTGAGCAGGGGTTGGACTAGATGACCTCCTGAGGTCTATTCCAACCCTAATCTTCTGATTCTCTTTGCCCCCTGGCCAGACCCCAGTGCACTTCCGGTGCCGGAAGTCTCTGCTTCCCACCTCCTGTGCGGCCCCACCTGCCTCCCTGGAGCTGAGCCGCCTGGGACTGGTGCAGAAGCCTGCCCAGTCTCAGCCAGTTGATGGGGGGCAGTGTGGGGAGCTTGTCTGGGCCCCTCTAGGCAAGTGGGTGCTGAGGGAGGCTGGCTGGGGCAGGCCCCAGCCTGGCTGATTGTGCCACTCCCGGGGGGCCAGAGTGATTCTCCGCCCCAGGACCAGCCCTGACTGCACTGGCAGCTCAGCCCAGCAGACACAGCCGCCTCCCAGCAGGGCCAATGAGTGTGGCCACGAGGCAGGGCATGGAGGAGTGGGTCTCTGGGGAGGTGCTGGGTTGTGAGGGGGCAGGGAAGATCTGTGTGTTGGGGCACTAGGCAGTGGGGGTTCAGAGTGGGGTGCTGGACAGTTGTGGTGGGGCTGTGAGCAATGGGGCACTGGACAGGGGTGGTGGTGTGCAGGGCGCTGTGCATTTGTGGCAGATCGGGGGGGGCCGGCGCACTGGGCAGGACCGAGGGGGCTCCAGCCATAGGGAACCAGGGGGTGGGGGGAGCGTTCCAGTGTTTGGGGGAGGAGGTTGTGTGGCTCGGCATGGCCTGTCCCGTGAGGGAAAGGGGCATGCTGGCAGCACAGGGCTGGGCAGGCCACTGTGCATCTGGCAACTGCCAATTAGTAGATAGTGCCCTCGCACTGGGCTGGGCAGAGCGGGGCCACCCCTGCCATGCCATGCCCCAGGCCAGCTCCTTGCTCTGGGGGCTGGCCCCACCGCACCATGCTCCATTGCCCCCATGGGGGCCCACAAACATGTTTGGCACCAGGCCCACAAACGGTTAATGCGGCCCCGCCCCAGGCAGGCAGGCAGTGCCCCCTGCCCCAGCACCGCTAAGGGAGCACAGACAAGCAGCAGGGCAACTGCTGGGCGCCCACGCAGCCCTGGGAAGGGGGGGTCCCCTAGCGCCAATGCAGGCACCACTGGTGGCTCTGCCCGTCACGGGGAGGCGGGGGGCAGCGCTCCCGGGACAGCACTGGGGCCCGGGCCCACAGCCCCGGCAGCGGCAGAGGCCAGCGACGACCCCTGGGGCCGAGCAGGCAGGCCGAGCCCCGCGCCGGCTTCTGCAGCAGCAGCAGCAGCCCGGCCTCCCCCGCAAGCTGCAGCAACAGCAGCCGGAGGAGAGAGAAGCGGCTCACGCACCTTCCCCGCGCAGACCCACCGCTCCCAGAGCCCCGCAGCCGCTCAGCCCGACGCGCTGGCTCGGAGAGGAGCCCGCCGCTGCAGGCGGCGCCACCTACCCTGCAGATCAAAGCGCGGCGGGATGGAGCCGCTCGGCGCTAACTAGAGCTTCCCGCGCCCCGCTGCGCTTCCTCATCCGGCCGGGCTCAGAGCCGGGCCCGCCCAGAGCGCCAGGCGCAGCCGCTGCGAGGCCCGCCGGGGGTGTCCGGCAGACCTTGCCCGGCCGCGAGAGCCGACGCTAAGGGAGGGCGAAGAGAGAAGCAGCCGTCTCCTCCCTGGGTGGGGGCCCGCTCCCCTCTCCGGCTCCAGCTCGGCCGCCTCTCCTTCGGGGCCTGCCCGCACACGGCCCGGCCCGGCCCGGGGAGCAGGCTCCTCACATGCCCCACTGCTTGCCGCTACTCCGGCTTCTGCCGCAGGCTGCTGCCCTTCCACTAGCTGTGAGGGGCTCGGGTGGGCGAGCAGGAAGCTCTTCCCCAGTGCTTAATTTGTGCCAGGGCTGGGCCCCGGCACCGCCAGCTTTGGCCGTTCGTAGCCCCGGCACCTCTGGGCTTGCTGCATTGGTTATGAATGGAAAAAAATTGCTTGAGCCCTAGGCACCACTTTCATTACAGATTAAGCACTGGTCTAAAGTCACATTCTCTGCTGGTGCCCTTCCATTGACTCCTGTAGAGTTCACCAAGAACATGGGCGATGGGTGTCACAGGCCAGGGCAGCTAAGCCTCCCCTGACCTATGCCGTGGCCCCACCCATGTTGCACCCTGAGGGTCTACCTGAAGCTGGTGGGGGCTTAGCTCCAGCTGGCAGCCCTGAGCTTAGGCACCAGTGCTGGGGTCAGTGGTGGTAGGGGGGGGTTGAGCTGGTGGCTGGGGCCAGCCTGGCACTTGGGGGGGGGGCAGTAGCTCAGCCCAGTGCTGGGGCCAGTGGCTTGGCCTGGTGCTAGGGCTGGGCTGGCTTAGGGCTTTGGTGGGCGGGACCGCCCAGAAGTGGGAGCTCACCTACCGCCTATGCCAGGAGGGAGTTTGGCCTTTGAAATATTTTTTTTTTTTGCCTGGGTTGTTACAGATTCTAAGGCCAGACCATTGTGATCAGCTAGTCCAACCTCCTGCATCACACAAGCCGCAGCACTTCCTTGATTGTAAACTTGGCACTGACAGGGAGTCCACCACAACCCATGGTGATTTGTTCCAATGGTTAATTACCTTCACGGTTAAAAATGGCTATGGTATTTATTACTGGATGAAGGGAGTTGCTGGAATGGCCTAGTTCAATAACTGTAGTTTTGAAAGGTCAGTGAACACCTATATCAACGGAGAGATGCTCCTTTTAATGGAATTAGCACGTATGTCAGAAGACGTTACATCAGAATTCCCTATGTAATAAGCTCCTCTGCATTCATATCCTGCTTGCAAAATCTTTCAGTAATGATAATAGAATATAAGTGGTTGATTGTTGCCAGGGTGCTCTGAACAGTCTTTGCATTGGTTCTCTCTGACAACTATGATGTACAGCCACAGTTCATTATGCTATGGCCTAGTGTACACAAAGTTGCATTGGTTTAACTAAATGTGGGTGTTTTTAAACAGATTTGCTTATACTGATGCAGCTTGTGTGTTTAGAGCAATGGATCTCAACCATGGGTTTATGCATCTTTGGGGTACACAGAGGTCTTCCAGGCAGTATATCAACTCATCTAGATATTTGCCTAGTTTTACAACAAGCTACATAAAAAGCACTAGTGAAGTCAGTACAAACTAAAATTTCCTACAGACAATGACTTGTTTATACTGCTCTATCACTATACACTGAAATGTAAGTACAATGTTTATATTCCAGTTGATTTATCTTATAATTACATGGTAAAAATAAGAAAGTAAGCAATTTTTCAGTAATAGTATGCTGTGACATTTTGAATTTGTCTGATTTTGTGAACAAGTAATTTTTAAGTTATGTATAACTTGGGGGTATTCAAGACAAATCAGACTACTAAAAGGGGTACAGTAGTCTGGAAAGGTGAGAGCCACTGGTGTAGACAAGATCTTAGAAGACAAACCTAGGCCTTGATCCTGCAAATACTTTGGTATGTGTTTAAGCACGAGTAGTTCCAATGTAATCATTGAGACTACCCCCATGCTTAAAGATAAGCACATGCCCAAGTGTTTGTAGGATCAGAGCCTTAGAAAGCAATTTTATGACAGTCCAATACATAATGGTGAAGAACTTCCCTCTACAATCCAACATTATGCTCTGATTCCCATAAATTGTATCATCTAGTTGGAATGGAAGTAATGCTAATGAGCCTCACTGAAGTGTGTTTTGAGGAGGGATTTGAAAGAGGAGAAGGTATTACTATAAAAAGTCACTCCATCTCTGCCAGACTGGCCCCTCCACCTGGTTATTTTGTTTGTATTTATTGTAATACGTTGTGTCTTCCTCAATATATGGAACATTGCACATAAACAGCATACATTAATACATCTCTCACATTTAAATTGTCACAGTTTTTGAGAATTCTGTTTAGGCAAAGGAAGTAACTGTTTTAATCAAAATGTTACGAAACTAACCTGTTGTCGTGACTCTTGTCCGTCTTGTTTGTTTCCTGTGGTTTCTGAGTATTCATTGCATATCCTGCCCAAGAAGTTTTGTGTCACACATTGCTGCTGGTCCAGTGTCTCTTAGTGGTGAGTATAGATAGTGATTAGTGAGATCATAAATGTCCTATTGCAACTCAAACAACAAAATATTCTCTGAGAGAGTGATTGTAGCGCGCACACACAGCACTTTAAAATTAACTGCCAGTGAACGATTTCCTTCTTTCCTTCCAATTAAAGGTGAGATGTGGGGCAGTTCTGCCTGAGGGATTTTATGTATGCAGTGTTGTAGCCCTGTCAGTCCCAGGATATTAGAGAGACAAGGTGGGTGAGGTTATATCTTTTATTGGACCAACTTCTTTTGGTGAGAGAGACAATCTTTTGAGCTACACAGCTCTTTTTCAGGTCTGGGAAATGTACTCAGAGTGTCACGCTAAATACAAGGTAGAACAGATTGTTTAGCATAAGTAGTTAACACATATTTCAAAGGACCATTTAAGGTGAAGTGGCCTGTTAACACCCTCCAGTCATGGGTGGGCGAGGGGGAGGAGAAAGGGAAGGGGTGTGTGGAAGGCAGTTGTGGGGGGACTGATAGTAGGTTATAGATTGTTGTAATAAACCACAAATCCAGTGTCTCTGTTCAATCCATGATGTTTAGTGTCTAGCTAAGTAAATTTATGTAAATTGCCTTCTAACTATATTACAATCCTGTGATTTTCATCACCAGTTTTAGGATTTGGAGGGGCTTCAACACAGTTATTCTTGATGGGATCTTATCACCTCACTTTCTCCGTTCATTCTTCTACTAATTCCCTCAACCTCTTTTTCCTTCTTTCTCCATTCACCTTTGCTGGCCTAACACTTTCTTTTAGTCCTTTCATAATCAAAGAGTTAATGGAAAGGAGTGATGGTGGATCTCCTTTTTTTCCCTTGCCACCATGTGATCAGAAGAAAGGAGAAGTTGCGTCCATTCTCATAGAGGGCCAGAGAACATACTGACCTTCCCTGTGCTAGCTTTGAGTAAGTGTTTGCACCACAAGCAGATGTCACCAACCAATAGACTCAACAACAGAACCTACAGTTTTATGAAATTGTTTTGTTGTTTTCTCTCAACCATGGGTTGAAATCCACATCAACTTCCTTCAATCACCACCACACAAAAATCTGTCCCTGGGCTCGAAACACACAAATAACCTACCAGTCCCAAAGAAGTTATTCCCATTCCGCCAATCCCATATATCAGGGTTCTCAAACTGGGGGTTGGGAGGTTATTACATGGGGAGTCACGAGCTGCCAGCCTCCAGCCCAAACCCTACTTTGCCTCCAGCATTTATAATGGTGTTAAATATATAAAAAAGTGTTTTTAATCTATAAGGGGGGGGGTCGCACTCAGAGGCTTGCTACGTGAAAAGGGTCACCACTACAAAAGTTTGAGAACCACTGCCATATATATTTTTCTATATTTTGCACTGTCCCTTGCTAAATATATTATGATACGCTCTTTTTCTCCCTTTGCAGTTATAAGACTTGATTGTCTCCTCTGCACATCTAGGGATCATAACTGTTAAAGAAGGGAAGGATGGTGTTATGGTTAAAGCACCAGAGTGGGATTCAGGAGACCCGCATTTAATTCTTGGCTCTGTCACAGACTTCTTGTATGACACGGGCAACTCTCCTAGGTCCCAGTTCTACAAATACTTACACCTGTGCTTAAGGCCTTGTCTACACTGCAACGTTTTGTCACCAAAAGGCAGGAGAGGAGACCCCTGGTAAGTGGTTTTGCTTTGTGAATTGCGGAGGTGGGTTGAGGGCACAGAAATGTACAAACCTGGCTACGTTTCTGTTTGCTGACATTTCCCTGTGCAGCTAAGTAGCATGGCAGAACAGGGTGTTGATGCACACCGAGATTTCACAGGAATCCTCCAGAGAGATCTCTAGGAAACTTTCCTTGAGGTACTCGACAATCCTTCAGAGGCATCCCCTACGCCCTGGTGGAGTGTCTCTGTAGACAAGAAAGCACCTGAGACAGAGCAACGAAGAAGTTTTCCAGGAGATGCTGCAGTGCTCAGATGCAGAAAAGAGGGAACACAGGCAGTGTAGGGAAAATGGAAAGGCAGGACAAAAGAAAATGAGGCCTTCCTTAGGAATGCAACTAAGGGGATGATTAAAGTTATGGAGCAGCAAACTGAGATGCTGAAGTCCCTTATAATGCTCCAGACAGAGCAGATGTGTGCTTGCCCTCCCCTTCAGCACATTCAGAACTCTTTCCCATATCCTCCCAAAACTCTACCCATTCATTCCTTTCCACTTTCTGGGACTTCTCACTTTCCTGTTCATCCCACCGGACACCTTTTCAAATGATAGCTGGTCTTACTCACAGCTCTGAAAGTCAGCCCTTTGCTGGTGCCTCCACTCCTGCCCACCCAAGCATTTGTGTGTGTGTGGTGTAGTTTTTTATGCAACAAAAGCAAAGTTTTTTGAATGATAAGCAATCTTTGTTTCCTGCGAATTGTGATAGTAGGTGGCAGCAACAAACAAACAAGTAAGAGTAAGCAGGATAGGCTTGGACAGATTTCCCATTTGCTAGCTAGCCCTGCGTAGAAAGATAAT